CAGGTTGCTATATTCATTTCAGACCGTCACATTAATTAGTCTAAAATTCAGTGGTCTTCTATCCATATTAGATATTGTAAGCATTTTTTCATAACGCCATGACGTTTTATCCGTCCCTTTTTCTGAAAAAATCCATTGAAATGGGGCCAAGTTTTACTCTATCACATCGGTGCGGAAAGTTAGAACATTATGAACATGTGCCGACTACACTCAGACAGCGGTAAACTCTCATGTTTCATCACCTTGATGATGCTGGGTAGTGCACCGCAGTTGTGGTCAAATAGCAAGGATGCATGATGTCCTCACATGCCTGAAAAATTCCACAATTTATTTGATGGATACGCTTAGGTCGTGTTCTATAGTCTTTATAGTTTTTCGCCACTTTATTGGCCATCCCAGTCACATGCACTCAGGCCAAGCACGACAGTCATTAGTCTAACCACCATCGCGGCAGCCGTCAGACGCCATAAACCCACTTGAGGCAACCGATCATCGCAATTCAATTGTCGACGGTTTTCCGGTAAGCCGTCGGCGGCGTCGGTCAGATTTTAATCCCGCCTAATCGCCAGTCCGCCGCTGTGTCGCGCCGGGGTCGGGGCGGCGGCGGCGGGTCTCGTCGCGTCGGTCCTCTCTGTCGATGGGAGCTCTGGCGGCGGCGTGTCGCGGAGAGGCTGCGGATTGCGGAAACCGCCGTATCGCCACCAGACAGCACCGGAACAGTCCAGCCCGCAAGATAGGACGCCGGTTTCCGTTCGACGCTCGCCGCCGCGCGGCGGCTCGTGGCGCGGTGGCGCGGCTTAGCGGCCGGCTCCGTCCCCCCCCCCCCCGCTGTCGCCCAGGCCGCAGTCGGACAGAGCAGCCCCTGCGGACGACACTGGGCTGACGGCGCGACGAGTGAGCCTCTCGCGGAACGCCTCTCGGCGCGTCTCCGTGAGCTGCAGAGCCAGAAATCGACCGCTGCCGCTGCTGCCCGATTCACGGATTGTCACCGCGGGCTTTATCGTTGGTAGTTATAGCGCTTGTGGATTGCGAGTGTAAGTGGCATGCGCGGATTTCTGAGTACCGAGTGTGGAGTGCCGACGACTAATCTCTGGGTCCCGATTGCTGAGTGCCAAGCACCGAGTGCTGAGTGCCACACCCGGAGCAGATAGCTTGGTGGGTACTGGGTGCGATATCCGTGCCAGACTGCTTTGCTCAGTGACGCGAGGTGTACCACCTCCAGTGACCCATCTCGCGCGGACCAACGACAGACGGCCGGGCGGCTGCTGAGGTCAGGCTCACAGCCGGACAGTCAGCGTTCCGGGCCGCGCCCGCCCACCGCCGCTCCCCGGCTTACTCTTCCCGGGACGTACCGGAGGCTCATCGCGAGTTCTGGCCGCCGGGACCAGTTCTAACCGCTGTACTGGCCAGTTGATCGCTCAGTCACCGCTCTCAGTATTATCCAGCGTTCTTTGTTGAGGGAAGCACTGTTTTGACTCGTTCATTCACTCTGGTTGTGACGTTGGTGATATAATTTGTGATGCGCGACGTGCAAGTGAAGTGAAGTTACGAAGTGACGTTAAGTGACGTGATGAGTGTTCTCCAGTCCGCGCCGTCACCCGTCAGAGGAAAAGTCGTCATACCTGTGAGTTGAGGGCAGCAGGTCACCATCTACTGGTTACGGTTCATGTCACCGGACACGGTGTGTCAGGTGTCAAATATAGCATCATAACTACCTTAGCTCCGAAACCTGATGCCTGCTGCATTTAACTTAGGTGCCAGTTTATGTTTGTATGTTGTGATAAGCTTGCTTACTACTGGATTACTTGATTACAAGCTTACTTGATACTTGATCATGTGAGTGCCGCTTACGTATGTCACCGTTCATCTTAAATTACCAACTATGGAGCTACCTTATCTGGAAGAGGTAGCGAGTTGCTGGCCGGGGCCCGGGCTAGTCATAGCACGTACTCCGTAATCTTTTAGCGGGGATGACTCCTAAGGACGAGGAGTGATAATCGAACACCACAAAGAGAGCATCGCCAGGCTCTGATCACCCGTTCGGGGCTGATGAACCTCAGTGCCGCCTCGGGCCAGATCTGAACGCCAGCTTTAGTCTCGATCTGAACACCAGCTTTACTTCGCGCCTCTGGGTGTGGTCACGTCTCGTGCATTGTCACCGACCACCCCGCCCCATGGCCAGTGCCGATGTGCATTGTGCTCCTCACATACCGCTGGGGTCCCTCCGGGCATCTCGTGCGCTCCGACGGGGACCCGGCGAGCGTTGCCTGTTGCATGGGTCGTCGCCGAGACCTGTTGCATGGCTACACGGTGCCGAATGCTCCGGGTGCCTACCTGCCGGCCGGCCGACGGCCCGCACGCGGCGCCGCGCATAGCAGTCGTGCTCCGAATGCGGCCACTGATTAGCTTTATGGCGTGGCGGTGTGTCATTGCGGCCCGGCGGCAAATTATCATTACGACCGGCACGGGCCCTAAGTCGAGCGGTGACGCCGGGCCCGGCCGCCACCTAGCCTATCAGCTTTATGGTCAATCAGGGTGGCATTCTCGTTTGCAAGGCAAATTTGCCGGACATTGAGATGGCCACGCGATGCATTTGCATGTTTTGTTCCTTCGGGTGGCCTCCCCGCCATTACGACGGTCGCGTGTCCAAGCGGTAGACGCTAGGCTTTGGGCGCTCACGGCAAACAAAGATGAATGGGTCCTGCACATGGTTGAGTGACATCTTCACATTCTTGTTGCATCGCTGCATTCCCTGACAAATGACTATCACATTATAACTGCATGCCTTTTACCTTGCTGGCAACAGACTATGCACGTTCACCTTTTATTCCCTATCAGGATCGTAATCGCATCTGGATGCTAGTGGTACGTTCAGGCTCAGTGTCGAGTTCTCAAATCTCTGTCATTCGACCTGACCGTAGCGTCACATCGGACTTCCTCCGGGGTCGGTGCTGACTCAACCACTCACAGCGTGTGGACCCGGCTGACCCACTGTGAGGGGGTCAGTCACACCCTCCCTGGGTCGGACCGGTGACGCGCCCGAAAACAAACATTGCCGCTCGCCATCACCGCGTGAGCTCAGTAGAATGGACGTGCACTGTGGGGCGAGGATAGGTCAGCTGAAGAGTCGCCGGGTGCTGTTGAAGAGATATTTTTATTTTTAGTGTTGATGCACGTAAAAGAGCGGCATGCATGCATGGAAAGTTGCGAACATGTCTCAGTGTTTTGTTTCTTAATCATATTTGGCAACTTTAAAAGGGGAAGGTGTAGGATTTTCCATTCTCCATTTGATTATCTGATATAGTTCGTTTTTCTTAAGTTTGCCCCTCACTGTAAACGTCTTTTTGAACACAGCACGAGAATTGCTAGCTGAATTACTGAGAAAACTGGTTGGCGCACATTGTATTGTAGATATAAATAATATTTTCAAAATTAAGCTTTGAACACCGACGATTTAACGTTATGTTAAGCGCCGTGCAATTTATTTATTAGTTCACACATAATTCCTGAGAAGTCGTCTATCCCTGTGGGGCTGTAGGTATTGGCAAATACGAGCTACGAGTCTGTGAAATAGTAAATAAATTTGATCAAATTGATCGTCTGTCAAATCTGGTCAAATCAATGTGCGCCAACCAGTTTTCTAAGTAATTCAGCTAGCAATTCTCGTGCTGTGTTCAAAAAGACGTTTACAGTGAGGGGCAAACTTAAGAAAAACGAACTATAGTAGGTATGTGCCCACGGATATAGTTACTTGAGGTTAAATGCTTTTGGCTGGCCCACCCAAATTGTCTTCAATCGTCGTCATTCGGAATACAGTCTAAAATGCCTCCTTAATTAGGCTTATTTCTATTTCATAAAAAGATGTAGCTAATCACCAACGGTGGCTTCTGTGAGATAACCTTTGCGTATATTTGTAGTCATAATGCAACACACGGCATGGCTTTGATGGCAATGGTGGCATTTTGAATGCTCACATGCTGTTTCTAAATACAGCACAGACAACGTGCAGTAATGTGGGTTATTTATCTAAGAACCGGCGGTTGCCATGATAAATGAGTGGTAAGGACGCAAGGAATGATTTATTTTGTAAAACCGCGACAGCCGACGGATACACTAGTAAAGAAGCTCATAAAGCCGATGATGTCACCAGAACCAGGAATTAAACATCTATTGTTTGGCTGTCGGACCTGATTGGCTTTGTTTTTTTTTTTTTAAACCCTGATTCGTGTAAGACAACAGTCAGCTCACAGCTAGAGAAGCATGCAATCGGCCGGCAGATCAGGGAAACTGCAACCCAGTGAGCGCAAGAACCAAGTTGATGCTGCCGATGCAATCAATGACTTTGATTGCTTTACATTTATACCTCTTAAGTGTATAAATTTGTTATTGCAAGATATGATATTTTGTTATTATCATTTTTCATGTTCTTTGCCATGTTTTAGGCTTTCATGACATGCAGATCAGTTTTATGAGCTGCACCATTTTCGTGGTATGTTAAAGGGACCCTCCCACCTTAACATTAGATTTGAGTTGAGATAGCCAAAATGGGGTCCCTGGCTCACAATTACCGGTTTCGGCACTCACAACATCGAGAAATGCCTTAAATCGGAAATATTGAATTTCAAAATTGCAGCATTTTGATTCAGAGGGGCTAATGCTTAGGAATACCCCTCTGAATGTGTGACGTCAGCGCAAATACCTAACGATTTTTTAATGTTTGACTAAAACGTTTTGTAGCACGCGGTGGTATATGCTATTTGCGCGCAACATCTGCCGCAAACGCCGCACTTCTAAAATAAAGTCGCTAGAAACAGCGGAGATCCCAAAAAAGTAAACAAAAGTAAAAGTCTAATAATGTAAATAGAGTGAATAACCTTATGCTCATGTTATATGTTGCAAATTGATATAATTAAAACTAAATTGATATATTTCGATATTGCACCGTCATCAGAATAAGAATAGCAATTAAGCAGCGAAACAAAGCCGATTCAAACGGAATACAAAACGTGCATCTTTTGATATGGTTCTCGTTGGATAGGGTCGATCAGTACGTACAATCATTCAAGTGCGTGTCAACAGGGGCGGCGGATTCGGGGGGGCAGGGGGGCAGCTGCCCCCCCTGGCAAACTCGGGGGGGCAAAAGTATCTTTTTGCCCCCCCATAATTTGTGACAAAACTTAGACAAGAAACATATACCTGATTATTCTGTTCGATCATTGGCGGTCCCAGGGGGGGGCCACGGGGGCCATGGCCCCCCCTTTGGTGCTGAAAGGTGGGGCCATACTATCTTTTGGCCCCACCTTTCAGATCGAACAAAAGTCCTAGAGAAAGCTTTTTGTATGTTTCATTTTCTTTCTTGCGCCATCAAAGGACGTAAATTTCACTCATAAGTGGGCTCAGTTTCGCATTCTGTCAATTTGGCGGTCAGCGTCGCTGGCACCGGCTCACGAGTATGGCCGGATCTTATATGGAATATTAGCGTGGGTTTACTTGAGGCTCTCGTAGGCCCAGCAATGACTGGCATGAGACCCTCTTCGGCAGTGGCGGGTGGGCCCTGCCAAATGAGCGTGGCTCTACGACACTAAAGTAAGACCTCATGGGTTGGTGCTGTGCACCTTAGAAGCCCGGTGGTGACGCCGTATGCCGGTTTGGTTTCTTAAGGATTAGCGTGGGACCTCCGGGGCCTGCATAAAGTTTGCATGAGCTAGTATGTAATCTCAGAGGCCTGTGTGTAATTTGTACACAGTGGCGGTGTACACATGGCATCAGGGCCATGCCCCCCCCCCAAAGGCCAATAAAGGGGGCCATCATATCATTTGCCCCCTCAAACAACCAATGGGCCCCCATAGGTGTATGGGGCCCTGGCCCTTATTCGATCATCACGAGACTCACAAAAAAAACACGCCCAGCTCCCACACCGGTCTTTGAGCGTCCTACACTGACCTCTGAGGGAACTTCAGTGGCGGTCAAGCACCCACGTTGACCGCGAAGAGCCCACATCGACCTCTGAGGCCCCAAATCTTGCCTATGAATGCCCCTAACCGGCATCAGGGGCCCCAACTGGCGTCTGAGGGTCTCACACCGGTTTCTGGTGGCCTTATTTCTGTCTCTGGTGTCCCAAGACGAACCTTTCGGTGCCAATGAGGGCCCCGCACTGGCTGCTGAAGACCCGATGCCGGCCTCTAAGGGCCTGCATTGGCCTCTGAGGAGGGCCCATCTTGGCCTTTGAGAGCCCTCTGCTGGCCTCTGAGGTCCATCGACGGCTCATGCCGGTCTTTTAGGGCCCCACGCTGACCTCTGAGGGCCCCATGTTGGCATGTAATGAGTAAGGACCCACATTAGCCTCTGAGAGCCCAACTCGGTCTCTGATGGTCTGAAACTACTGGCCTTTGCAGTTTGCAGGCCCTGTACTGGTCTCTGAGGGCCATAAACTGGCCTCTAAGTGAAAACATACATGGTGGGCTTCTGAAGATCAGAGGGCTCACGCAGACTCCGGCACAGCCTATACGTTGGTCCTGATCGAGATAACTTTACGTCTTGATGGTCCCGCGCAGATTCCCTCATATTTCGACATCGGGACACCATGAGCCGGTGTGGGTCCTGGGGCTGGCAGAGACTGATGAA